CAAGAAGGGCGATGCGGGGGCGGCGGCGGGGGCGGCCCGGGGGCGGCGGCGGCTGCGGAGGGTCCCCCAGGCGCTGCCCCTCGCCCGCCCGGCCCGGGTAAGAGGCGGCAGGGACCGGCTGGGTGGGGGGCTGGGGGTGGGTGGGATGGGGAGGGGGCTGCGCGGGACCCTCGCCCTCCTCTTCTTCTTCCCCGGGGAGATGCGCGGGCCGCCCCCAGCCCCCTCTAGCCGCCCCACGGGGGAGTGGGGGTCTCCCGGGTGGGGGGGCTGAGAGCCGAAACCTCTGGGCGGGGGGCGTCTGGACCCCTCTTGCCCTCTTGGAAGGAAGGGCCTGGAGCATCCCTGTCCCACTTGGGGGGACGTTTCCCACCCGCCCCACAGCTCCCAGGGCTCCTGGGGGGCGGCTGGACCCCCCCTTGCCCTCTTGGAAAAAAGGGTCTGGAGCATCCTTGCCCTGCTTGGGGGGGCGTTTCTCACCCGCCCCACAGCTCCCAGGGCTCCGGAGGGGAGGGGGCGGCTGGACCCCCCTTGCCCTCTTGGAAGGAAGGGTCTGGAGCATCCCTGTCCCACTTGGGGGGGCGTTTCCCACCTGCCCCACAGCTCCCAGGGCTCCTGGGGGGACTGGACCCCCCTTACCCTCTTGGAAGGAAGGGTCTGGAGCATCCTTGCCCCACCTGGGGAGGGGGCGTTTCCCACCCGCCCCACAGCTCCCAGGGCTCCGGAGGGGAGGGGGCGGCGGACCCTCCTTGCCCTCTTGGAAGGGTCGGGGGTCGGCGACGACCGCGGGGCTGGAGCCTCCTTACCCCGTGGGGGGGGGGCGTTTCCCAGCCGCACCGCAGCTCCGAGGACCCCGGAGAGGGGGGGGCGGATAGGGAGGCCGGAGAGCGCCCCTCCCCCTTGGCCGGGTCCAACTCCGCGGAGAACCGCAAGCATCCTTGCAGCGGGGTTCGCTTTGGGGGGTGCAAAGCCCGTGGACCCCCGCGAGAGCCTCCTTGTCGGCATTAGGGGGGGGGGGTTCAGCGCGCCCACCTGCCGCGGCCGTGCAGGCTAGCCAGAAATGCTCCCCTTAGGCAAATGCATCCTCAAGGCCAGATTGGGGGGGGGGCTTGCACAACAGCAGCCCACCCCCTTTCTGGTTGCAAGCAGCCTTTTCCCCTTTGCTGTAGTAATCCAGCAGAATGCCTGGACCCTGATTGATTGATT